CATGTAAAAGCACAAATTGAGAAGGGATTGTAGCCTTGTAAAACCGATGCGGATACACAAACAAATCAGATGGAACAAAGAAAAAAAAAGGCAGAGTACATTCAGTCCTACTATCAAGGAAGGCAACTCTAAATTTGTCATTCAGGTCAAGTGCTGCTCTCTGCTACTGAATGAGCACATTTTTAATAGCGGCGGATCCCTGCGGCAACAATCTCTATTCACATTCCAAACACAGCGCTTTCATTTACTGACCTTGAAGGGTCTTGTTTACACAAATTGAAACTGAACACCAAAGAGGAAGGATTCTCGGGCTTTAATTGACCAGTACGGAGTAAACAGTACAGTTATGCCCACAGCCGAGATAACCAGCCTTGCGTTTGCGACTCAGGAGGAACGGCTTCCATTTCTGCCGCATGTTCGTGTCAGGCCGTCCTGACCCGGGAGGCAAGCAAACCAAAACCAACACTTCCCCTCTGCAAACTTGAAGAAGGAGCGCAGCAGAGTGTTACGATGTGTAGCCTTCCAGGGTTTAGTGTCTATAAAAGTTGCTGTAATGGAACTGGTTGGATGGCACGCATGGTTAGAAGGTAGCGGCAGGGAGGATCGAGGGAGAGAGGGGGAGGCTTTTCCAGAGCCGGCTGTAACAGCCCGAGTCCCCGAGGACCTCTATATGTCACCCAGCTCCGCATCTGTGAGCGCTCCGCTGCACACACTGGCCAACCTTTTGAAATGTCAGCGTGATAAAACCCGATGGATTCAATGTGCAGAACTTGACGGTGTCAAATGCCATTAGTTTTAATCCCATTTGCGGTGAAATTGCTCTTGAAAGGTAAAGGGATCTATAACTGCCGCGGCCTTGGGCGCGACCGGTGTAAATCTCTCGCCGCGTGCTGACGACCACCGCTGCGTCCCGCGCGGAGACACCGTGCCCCCCCGCCATTTCCTCGGCTGAGTGATGGAGATGTAGCAGCTTTAGGATTCTATGCATAACGCCGCGCGGGCTGGATGGCCATCGCTCAGAAAAGAGCTCTCCTTTCCGCTCCGCCACTCCACATCAGTGAGGGCCAGCAGGATTCAGCGGTGCTGCGACGACTATATTTTCAGCTTCAACTTAAAGTTCCGCTGCTGATTTCACTTTCCTCTGTGGTTGAGAAAGAGATAATGGTGATAAAGTGTGTTTTCTTTCAGTAACAGAGAAGATGAAAACATTTTGTACATAGTCACAAAAACTAAAGGTGACTGGCTGCTAACATTGCTAATGTTAGCGACTGCTTTTGCGTTTCCTAAGCTGAATGGATGCTTCAACAGTTTTGTTTGTTTCATTAACCACCTCAAGTTCAGAGTTGGAAACACTCAGACAGGTTAAACCGGAAGCTGGTAATTGTGTCATTTTAGATGAATGAACAGGAACATTTTCAAGGTATTTTGTCGTCATATCTCAATTTAACTGAACTGTTTTGACTTATTTGCAAAATCTGTAAAGAAAAACCGCAAATAATATCACACAAGTGTAAGCAGTCGCAATCGTACTACAGTTTTTTGGTCACCTTTCCCTCTACGGTTCCTCTTACAGCGTAAAACAACGAAAGATTTTTGAAAGCAGTGCATTTGCAAGAAATCATCAGATTCTTAAGAAATTTTCACCTAGTGCAAACTTGATTGTAGTTTAATGTTTGGTGAACTAACGTGTGCATAAACCTCTACGATGTTTCGAGTTGTTCTTTCAGAACATTTCAGAACATGCCGGTCAAAGTTAAAAAGTGTCTCCTTCCAGATAGAAGCTAAATGAAAACAACTCCAAAAAATAAAGGTACCACTAGCTCACTTCTCTGCGACAGACTGGCGACCTGTCCAGGGTGAACCCCGCCTCTCGCCCGGAACGCAGCTGGAGATAGGCACCAGCACCTCCCGACCCCGTTAGGGAGAAGGGTGCTCAGAAAATGGATGGATGGATGGATGGATGGATGGATGGATGGATGGATGGATGGATGGATGGATGGATGGATGGATGGATGGATGGATGGATGGATGGATGGATGGATGGATGGATGGATGGATGGATGGATCACTTCTGTTACCAACCCAAATGTATTGCAACATTTAAATTTCACTCATAATGGTCTTAAAAGGTCTTAGAAACCTGCACAAACCTTCTGATGGGCTATTTACTGCCCATAACCTTTAAAGTGAGACAGAGATACTTCCACTTGCTTTCAATGTGGAGAACGCTGCTTTCTATTGTGAGATAAACCCACTGCTTGTGTCAACCATCCGTTTGTGCAGAGCAGGGTCAGCAGTCTGTGTTTTGTCTGGGGACTGATGGTGCCATTCAGAGCAGATCTCACTGCCTTGACTGCCGGTCAAGGTTACGGCAGGGTTCCATGCTTTATCTAAAATATGTTTTACAAGAAAAGAAAACAAGAGTTAGAGCTTCTCAACGCAACCCCACCCCCCCCAAAACAACAACACACGATTCACTGCAGGGGGGAGAATAGCAGCTGACAGCTCCAGTGTGAGGCCCAGCCCATCATCCAGGCCTGTCAAACCGTGACCACTCGCTGGTGTTTTCGTGCCACCTCCTGGACGCTGCAGCCGGAGCGGTGGCAGGAAGTACAGCGCATCCATAATGCTGCCCGGTTCAGTTCTGTTCCGCTGCACACGGGCGTCCAGGAAATCATCAGCCACCGGGGAAAGAGCCCATCCTGTGGGTGTGGGCGGACCGCGTCTGCGTGCGCTTTCCAAAGCAATGCTGGTGCCGCTGCGCGTCAGCGGCTGCGAGCCACACTAGGAAGAGTTGATGGAGAGGACGCGCCACAAGAGCTCGCTGTGGTGTCGCGGCAATGCAATTCGGGCAGGACGGATCTGAAATAGCAAGGCGAGGTCTTAAACCACCAGATGGCGCCTCTGCAGCCCCGCGCTGCTTCCGGGAGCCCCCCGACCCCCTCCCGCGGTGGGATCCTGTGTGCGCGGCTGCCTGCTTTTTTCATCCAAAAAATCGCCACTGCAGATTCTGCAGGGTCCTTTCTTCCAGTCCCGGATGGACACGGTCCTGTTTGCATCCCCGCTTTCCCTCACCAGCATGTGAATCAGCAGCGAAATAAAGCTGCTGTTCGGGTGAGCCGCACCAACAGTTATTACATATAATCAGGTCATTAGCAGGACTCTGGAAAGCTGATCTACACAAGGAGGAGGTAATTAAGGCTTTTTATTCCAGTGTTTTGTATTTGTGGCGCATCTAACAACTGCAGGACAGTGTGGCCCTTGAGGACTGGAGTTTGACACCAGTGGCTTAGGACAAATACACCCAAAAAGCTTTACTTTGGAGAGGTGAGAGGGAGAGAACGTTCACCCCATGCAGAGAGATTTCAGGCAAGGATTCAAACCTGGGACCTACTTCCCAGACGAGTCATTTTTTAAAAGATTTGATTAAGTGGATTAAAGATTTTTTTTGCCTGCAAGTTCAAACCCTCCTTTTCTTCCCCCAAGGAGAACACTGACCCCAAGTGGAATTTTGTGGCAAGATCTTTTTTTTTTTTTGTTAATGGTAAATTGACATTTACCTTTAAAAACAAAAAATAACTGATTCAAATCTAAAACTTAAGATTTAACATTTTTGGTTTAGGCATGTATGAAGATGCAGACGGTATCTAGAAACATATGAAATCATGTTTATCAGACTTAATTACTGTACTTAATTAATTAAAATCTTGAAAAACATATCACTTGCTATTTTTTTTTAAAAGAAATATTCAGAAAACTCAAAGAAACTGTTTCACTCTTCTCAGGTTTACAAATGGAAGGTTTAAATGAATAGTTGTAAATTTTTTGAATAGAGATTATCTTCAAAATGTACATCTCTTATGTAACATCTCGTCTGCATTGACTAACTCTCTTTCTGTCCCTCATTCGGTCAAATTCAGATTAATTGGTCCTTGGGGGCGAAGTGCACAGCTTGTCCAAGAAAGGACAAGATCAAAATGGATTCCACTGTCTTAATGTGGCTTTAATCCTCAAAACATCACAGCAATTTGTCTCAACTCCATGTTATAAATGTGTAATGCCATATGCAATGGACGGATATATAGAGAGAACCCACTGCATCAAAACGCCAAGAGTTTTCTGCATATAGGATATTGACTTCTTTTAATATTTTAGCAGGATCCCTGTTCCAGAATCCATAATCTTCCCTTTAAGATTCCTGAAAACGCTGAAAATAGTTTTATAGTGAAAACGCACTTTTGGGGAAATGAAACCCCAATGTGAAACTGTTGACATTCTGCCCCCTTTTGTAAAAGTTTTCAACCCTCAAAGATTCTGAAAAAAAAAAAAAAAGAAATAGTGCACAAATAGTGGATGATTGTCGTGTAGGGAGCAAGGGGGTGTGTTGATGGTTTGAAACCGTGCTTTGTCCATCTTAGCAGTTGTTTCCTTGTAGAACATACGTCACCTGAATAAAAACAGTCAGTCTGCCCCATGCAGGGCTAACCACCATCAGAGAACAAATGAGTAACAGATTACACTATAAAACGTTTTGGAGTCCTTAGACTTGATAAAATGCGACACCATTGCAGGCCCTTTACCATCTTGATTGACGTACACCAACTTTTTTTATGTCCAGCATTATCATGGTTCACAGCTAAAAGCAGAATCACGTCTCATAAAGTAGCCTATATGGATTATATGCGAGTTTTTCTTCTTTTTTTTGTACAGTAAATTTTTAAATTGATCTTTTATATAAAGCTGGCAGAATTAGAAGTTCTTATAGGCCGAGGACTAAATTCACAGCACCAAAAAGTCCAGTGCTTTATCTGTAAGCTAGGTTTATTAAGTGGAAGGGAAAACACACCCTGCTGTCAGTAGGGGGCAGTATCTGTCCGTCCTCCATCCAACCATTAGGCACTTTTATTATTCTCCTCTGCTGTTTGAGTTCTCCCATCATCATGCAACAGTGAGCAGACTCCAGAGCATGGCTGCCCTCGGGCTCTGTCTGAAATATTGCATTATAAGCCGGGCTCCACTTGAATGACCTAACAAGGGATAACTGAGAGAAGCTGGATTCACTGTGAAAGCTGACTCTCTGAGACATAACATTTAGAGGGTGCTGAGCAAAGAAGCCTGCCACAAAGAGATATGTACGCAAACCGAAATGCAAAAAAGAAAAAAGAAAAAAAAAATCGGCTGCTGTCGTACAGAGTCATCGAAAATACACGTTTGTTGCCCCTGTAATTCCTCGCCGGAGCGAAGAGACGCCTCGTGTTAAGAGGCCAAGAAGACTGCTTCTGTTTTATTGGCCTTATTAAACGATATGCATAATGCCTTCCAGTTGTGCCTGAAGGAAGAGGTTTCTGCCTGGAAAGAGAAATCGGAAGGAGCACGGTAACATCTGGTAAAATTACAGGTATGTCATCATACAGACATGGTTAGCTCAGCTGTGATGGTGGGAGAAAAAAAAAACCCTGAAAACCAATCTAGAGTTTTTGCAGCTCTGATCTGACCAAAGCATGAAAGCTCTACTTATGTTCCTATTTACGATAAGACATAAAATGTTTATTATTATTATTATTATTATTATTATTATTATTATTATTATTATTATTATTATTATATTATTATTCCTGTATTATTCACAAACAATCAGTTGGCTGGTGGACAGCATTTAAAAAGCAAACAAACTTTGGGACTTACCAAGGATAAAAACATTTCCCTGCATTTCTCCAACAGTGGGTTTTGTCAATTTTGTACCTTAAAGATACAAATAAACATGAATCCTGATCCGGCCTAGTGCCCACACTATGAAAGAAATGTACTTTATTGTTATGTTAAATATAGAACTCAGAGGAAAATAGCACACAGATTAAATCCAGGTTTTGTTAGGGTTGGGGTGAAAGTAAACGGGCGGTAAAATATAAAATGAACTTTTTTAAGCTTTGCATCATGTTATGACGTTATTCCCTCATCGTACCAGGAGTGTTGATCTGTCATTCATGTTTGAGAAATCCTTTTATCTCCCAGGACAACCATTCAGAGGGGGGGACCTAGCTCCGCCTTCGAGGCTCAGCTCCTCCTCAAAGCTTCAGTTTCGAAGCTTACAAGCTTCTGCATTACAGACGTATACAGCATTTCTATACCATCTGAAGGTAACATGATTACTTGATTGTGCTTTAAAATGACATAGAAAACATCAAATTAAAGCAACATTTAATATTTAGTTCAGCTGCATTTATTCTGTGAAGGTTTTTTTCTAGGGGCATCAGTAATTGTGCCACTAATGAGATTCGAACCAAATTCAAGGTTGAATCTTTCCAAAACTTTCCGCATGAAATTATTCAATATAATATAATATAATTTAAAAAAAAGTTGTTGTTTTTTCAACTCTGCTTCACCAGAGATCTCAGCAAATTTCTTTCCACTCACTTCCAAAGCTATTTTTCTGTACTTTCTCCTTGTGCCCTTCATTTTTTGTTTTTTAAAGGATACACATTTATTTATCATGTAAGCTGTTTAAGAAAAAAAAAAAAACTTGAGACCAAAGGGTTTCTTTTATCTACTTCATCTCTCGGGTGAATTATTTCGACAACACCACAGCTAAACTGAGAACGTCTGCGAGCAGCGGCACGGTCCAATTCATCTTACCGATAAGGATCAAAAGCCGGAGAGAAGCTGAAACAACAGTCTGCTCTTCTCGCTCGGCGCTCCATAGGAACACAAATGTAGAGTATCGACCTCAGAAACGCAAGCAGAAGGTTAAAGTGAAGGATTTAAAACTGTGTTTGAAAAAGAGCGAGAGAGAGGCAGGATACCAGCCTGTGTGTTTGCATGCCTCAGGAGGAGCATGTGCACTGACCATACGCCTATGTGTTTTTGTGTGAGGAGCTATGGGTTGGGGAGATGCATCAGCTCACACTGAGCCTCCGGGTTGGATCAGGCTCTGCGGAGGAGAGGTGAGTTCGTCCGCCCCCGTTGAGCCTGCAAGGCACTCCAGCCTTCTCCATCACCATGCAGCTTGACCTGCTGCTTTTCTGGGAGACTAGCCGGTAAGAGGACCAGGGGCTGGAAAAGCAGGCCTCTCTGAACTTTGTGCAGGACAGAGTTTGATTTGTGTTGACACTCTTGCAGCTTCGCATGCCAATGCTGCAGCTACAGACTGATAAAAACTGAACTTATGCCTCTAAATACTTGGCAAAATACTGATAAACTGAAAGTTTTGTAGAAAAAAAAATATATTCATTAAAACTTTTACTATGTAGTGACAGTAAGACAAATATGTCATTTATTTGTTTATTTATTGCAGTGTTAAATTGTTTCTCCCCCTTTAGCAGAAGAAACAATCTTATATCTGCAGTGCATATATGATATTGACTGACAGCGCTAAGACCCCTCCCCCTGGCTCTGATTGGTTGTCTTTGACCAGATGTAGTGCATTTCTTCAGTAGAACTAGGATGAGGTGGAGGAGCTTGATTTATTTTTTTTTTCTTTCAGATTATCTGTCACCTGCTATAGTGTTACGACTTGGTGGCAGTTTTAACAAATATGCAAAAAAAATATAGATACATTTTTGGAAAACATGCACACTGTGGCTTGAAGAACATATCTTTGGCTTCAGAAAGTTATGCGAGTGATAAGGTGCTGACTCAAAAAATGTATAACTGAAAATCAGAAAATCTCCAAAGCCAAACACTGCACTTTATTTATCTAGATTATAATTTCAGGTGTGGGAGTCAATCCTGAAGAGCCATTATTCAAGATATTCATACACATTTCAAAAGGACTCAGAATGCTAATGTTATTTCAATTTAATGGTATATTCTTCTGCCTTCTTATTGTGGAAAAATCCAACTTTGTCTGTTGCTCCTTTTCATAGAGCTTTGGGTCCTGTGGCTCTGAAAGACTCCACAGTCTTTATAATGCGACTCTCCTCTCCACATGCAGGACAGAGAGCCAACATCTGACCAGTCGCACCTCCTTCAGTCTTACAGGAAGTCGACCACATGTCTCTGCGGGGCTCACCGTCGCATTAGTTGTCATTCTCAGCAGGGCAGGCGCTGGGAACAGGCTGGAGAGCCGTGCGGTTATTAAGGGACTCAGCTTGGCATCACTGAACTCTTTGGCACCCTGCTGGAGAGGGGCTTATGCTGAGCTGATGGGTTTTGGGGAAGAGGTGTTGTGGGGAGTGTAATAAAGGGAAGGGGTGGTACGGTAAAAGAAAATGACAAAAAAAAAACGAAAATAAAAATCAAATTTTTTTAAAAGTGAGTTAAGAGTTTCAAAAGTTTATATATATATATGTATATATATATATAAACTTTTGATATATATATCAAAAGTTTATATATATAGTTTATATATATATATATATATATATATATATATATATATATATATAAATGATATTTTGATGTGAAAAAACATGCAGAAAAGGAGCACAACTGTTGTTTAGTTATTTCTAAACAGACTATGCACATCGTATATTATGCCAGAATAAAGGTCAATTTTTCATCTGTAGTAACTGTAGTTGGTAAAACTGTTCCTTTTTTGTTGAGGTATCTTGTGGCTTTTAAGTTTTGTAAAAATAACATAAATTTATATTAATATAAGCGCCTTTGTGTTTTTTTGTACTTGCTTGTTAAGTTCTCCACACATTGATAGAGTAATTTGTCAATTATCTTCTGTATCAATAGTGTAAGAAAAAGGATGCTGTCTTGTCTTTACTGGCATGCACATCCATCACAACGTCATCTACATACATCTGAATGCTTTGACTGGAAATAGGACGAAAGATTGTCTTAAATACTAATGCTATGTGATGTTGTAAGATGCAACGTGTGGCCCATTTTTAACAAGCATTCGGCGAACAATATTTTAGCTTGTTTCCACCATGCTGTTGACAAAATCTTTCCAGTTTTCCACGGAGGAGTATGAAACTTTTATTGCCCTTCACAGTGACATTCACAGTGAGACAGAGGCTACCTCTGCTTCCTGTCTGGCGTCATGTGACCTTTTCTGCCTGCTGTGCTCAGATATTCCCCAGCAGCTGTCAGTGCAGAACAAAACAAACATTATTTATGAGGTTAAGCACCCAGTTCCAGTAGAGAAACTGTAAGTTTTGTCACAGTTCTCAGGAACTAAACTAAAAGAAGTTAGGAAGTGTTATCAAGAGATTGATCTATAATTAGCTTCTCATTAAAACAAACTGGGCGTTATGAAAACCGGTAACCTGAGTCCATTGAGCACGTTTGGTGTATTGTCAGAAGAGAATGCTTTGGTTAACTTTTTTAACCTAGACTGCATATTGATTCTGTCCTGCAGAAACTCTGGCTTATGTAAAGCATTTGCAAAGTCTAAGCTATCTGTAACATCAATGTTGAGCAAGTTGAAATCTTAAGAACTGTGATATTTTACTTTGAAGTTTTTTGTATTGTAAAACTAATCAGTGTAAAACTTTGATTTTATGAACTTCAGTGCATTTGTTGTGTGTTTTGGCTGATGATTGCTCACAAAAGACAGAAACACCTTCGGGACCAAAATATGAATAAAGAGAGTGAAAAGTCAACTTACTTTGTTACCTGGTTTAACTATATCAGCTTTTTAAACAAAGATATCCAAAGGAACTCAGAGATAAGAAAAATCATTCACTCTTGGGAGGCGTTTGTGGTATTTTCATATATGTTTTTGGCCTTATGTAACTTAGAAGAAAATTGGCCTGGAAAATGAACATTTTGAAAGATATGTGTATTTACCAAAGATAATGTAATATTTTTAAAATCCAATTATTCAGTGAAGAATTAACAGCACAATCTCTGCAATGACTGAGAAGAGTCAGAAGTCTGATGCCTATAATAACTAAATTCCATCAGAGAATATCTCTACACATTTCCAGCTACATCTTTGACAGACGACCTGTATGTCAAAAGTAAAATTTTGCAGCATAGTGAAAACATCCCAGAATGTTTTTTTTCCCTTCCCCTCTATCAAAAGACAACTTTCAACCAACCGATGCTTGGTTTGCACAAACCAAAAGCCATTAGACGGACCCTTCCAGCCACTGCCAGATTGTTTGACTGTCTGGCAGGAGGTTCTGCAGCATCAGGATTTGCTCTGCAAGACCTGCTGTTATTTCCCCAAGCTGTCAGAGCTGTGCAAACCCAGGTGCACCCAACAATTCATTTTCAGAACAACTTACTTCACACACCCAAACCTCACACACACACACACACACACACACGCACACATGCATGTGCATTTGTTTGTAGTACCTTGTGGGGACCATTTTTCTGACACATACAACATCGTGGGGACCAGAGTCTGGTCACTATTTTTGGGTCAAGGGTTAGATTTGGGACTAAGGTGTGAATTAAGTTTTTATTAGGGTTAGGTGTTTAATGTTTAGGGTTAAGATGAGGGTAAGATTTAGGCTGTAGAAATAAATGGGAGTCAATGGAAAGTCCCCACAAAGGTAGCCACGCAAACATGCGTGAAAAGATCATCCAACACACTCAACAGGCCACAACATCCTGAAAAAAAGAACAAGAAATGATTGTCCGAACCTTTGAGCACTGTCACAAGAAAATGGACAAGGGTTCCACATATGGCTCTTATTTTCGATAGTAAGCATCATAACACGTGTCCTGATTCTGCCACTACTGCTTTATGTGTTCTTTGGTTATATTGAATGTTAATTCAATTAGATTGCAAAAAAGATAATAAATTTGAATTGGTGTTGATATACAGTCATATTCGACAAGTTTCGATACGGTTTCCGACAAGGCTCGCTTGTCATTTTAGTACATTTTGAAAATCCTTCTAATTCCTTCAGGCAGAAATTAAACGTAACCACCAAGATCAAATGTTTTCATTAAACTTTTTTTTTATTATTTCTGATGTACTACTCTGATGTTAAATGTTGCGTTTTCAATAGCTTTAAGCGGAAAATAATCATAATCAACAGAAATAAAGGCTTGAAAATATCAGTATGTGTGTAATTAATCTCCATAATGGGTTTTACTTAATGAACTGGGCGACTGAAATAAATAAACTCCTCAATAACGTTCTGATTTTAGTTAATGAGTCTGTAAGTCTTGACTTATACGGGGAATGTTTCTGTGTTGGTGGCAATCGATTTCTTCCATCGCCGTGCAAACAGGAGACCAAACGAGACCTTTGAAACTCCTCGGCTTGTTTTATTTCATTCTTCTAAAATCTGCAAGCAGCCGACTCGTTTCCGAGAAAATATTGACTTTTTCAGTTTTCTTATTTTGTAGCAAGAAAAAGAAATGCAAATCTAAAGTAGTTAATTAAACAGCTGAACATTAGTGACTTACATTATTAATTATAATATGAAAACACCCTTATGTCATTTAACGGTGCTCCGTTTGCTTAATGAGCTCAAATGTGGTCAACCAGAGTCTGAATTTTAATCAAGCGCAGTTTTGACTGGACTGCTTTCTTAGCCGAACTTTCAGACTAATTCTGTTTCACGATCACAGGAACCACTCACATGAGTGAATTAATATTTGCTGCTCTGAGTCTTCGGCCATTAGGACAAAAGAGCACAGGGAGGACCGGCCGGCCCCATTCAGGTCTTTGGACCCTTTCGTTTAGTTTTCCTTCAACAAAAACTAGAGAAGAGAAGGCAGCATTGTCAAGACCTTGTGTGGATTTTGAGTTGCCAAAAAAGAAAAACTTACAGGCACCACAGTTTCAAACAAAACAGCACATAAGTGGCAAGGACATGAAGAGGATTGGTAGCACAAGAAGGGGGGGGAAAAAATGGGCTTAATAATAGGATGATCTGGCAAGTAACTGAATGATGTTTAGGGTGATTACTTAGCGCACAATCAGATGAGTTTCATCAAGGTACAGCTGAGGAGAAATGACTAATCAACATAAAACTGTGGAAGCAATATATGAAAAAAAGAACATAAAGGAAACAACCTGAAAAATAGTGAAACTAGGACAAACCTAAAACCAAAATCCTTTGGATCAAGACAAACATTTAGTTTCGGTTCTCTGCTCTGGGTAAAACTCCATTTAAATCTGGAATGGGGAGAAGTTTTACAAACATTACAATTTACAGGAGTTTCTCTTTTCTTTTTTTTTTTTACATAAAATGGAATGTCTTTTCTTTTAAAATCAATTTTACAATGTCTTTGCAATTTGGTCAAAATAAAAATAAAAATGCCTTTCTTTATTGTAACTTTGACATTTTTTATTGTCTTAGTTTTTCCCAGCAACATTTTGCTTTCAGTCTTCTCCTTTATTTTTCTTTAACGCGTCACAAAACGACTGTGATTGTCTCATTTTCATTCGCCTTTTGTTGGTTGTTGCTGCTCTTGTTGCTGCTGCGTTTTACCCCACATCACCACAGACAAACCAAACACAAGACCTAAGCGCAACTCGACAGCGTTTCCAGGAACATGGAAATCTGTAATGATGCTGCGGGTCTACATGGATGCAATGTGAGGAGCGAATGGGGTTGAGGGGAGGAAGGAACTGCCTTGGCGACAGTTACACTGCAGCACTGTTGAGGAAGGTGACAGCTCTCGGAAATGGTTTTTCTGTAGCCATATGAGATTCTGTTCTGCGATGCATAATGCAGCAGAACATGCAGACATGCGTTCTCTGTGAAGAATGGGACGGAATACTTAAAAACACCTGAGAATCTTCCAGAGGCAGAGGAGAATTCAGCAAACGCTCGCTTGTTCTGATACCAGCGGTTTTTGGGGTGGTTTTAATAACATGCTCTGGAGATTTTATATCTACACTTGCTGCAGGTGAAATAATAAGCAGAGATGATGCTATGCAGCACCTCAGAGTGGACTTTATTCTGCAGTACTAAAAGTTGTTGAAGAGATTTTGCAGAAATTATGTTCTCTTCAATCCCCCTGAGGTTCAGTGTGTTCGTGCAACTTCTTTGCTTTTTCACTTCCAAGAACAGCAGATGCGTTGAAAGAGCTGTTTGTGGAAGAAGGTGAAACGAGTGTCCCGGCTCCATTCGGTGAGCGATGCAAATGGAAAAAGCAGATTTTGGCGATAAAAGACAGAAAATATACAAGTCCCAAGGTCACAATACGTGTATTGTCTTTTCATCTGGTTTGAGGGCAGACGCTCAGAAATATGTCTTGTTTTTATTCTCTTTAGCTCTCAAAAACAGCAAACCTCATCGTCCAGGACGACA